GTGAACTATTGTGTATATAATGGTTAAAAGACTACTCATTTAAAATACCCAATGTGACCGACAATTGTATCACGATCATAAAAAATTGTGGATCTAGGAATACAAATGATAGGGGCAATAGAAAGAGGGGGCCTTTGAAGGCGAGCGTCTCTAGTTTTTTTATGGTTTTTTTAAAATTTTTTTGAAAAAAGAAGAAATTTTATATCAAATAAATTTAAAATAAATGAAATAAAATATTTTGAAAGTAGATAAATAAAATAAAATAAAATAAAATATATTAAGACTAAAAATATACTCCTCCTAATTTTTTCTTCCCAGTTTAACTTTTTCCCATTTTTAATTTTTGGCTTTGACTTCAAATTTTAACCTTCTTAAAAAAGATTTTTTTGATTTTTTTTTGCAATCATTCAAAATATAGAGTTAGAAAATAATTGGTGTAAATACATGACTGTATTAATGTCAGTTGTCATCTTTTTTTCTAATGGAAAGGTAGTTTTAGGACGGAAAAAAAAGGGAAGTGGGAAGAAAGTTTTAGGACGGAGGGAGTATAATTATGAATGAATTACCTAATACATCATATATGTTATTTTGAAGGAATACCATATTTTATATAACTATAATATTACAAATACTTTATCTTTATATTCTATTTATATAATTTCATTTCTTTTGGAAATGATTTTTTCTGCTAGGGCATAACTGTTTTTTCACTAGGGGTACACTTTAAATTTACTATAATTTTTTATATTTTTAGACTATAAAAAAAATGGACTAGGGGCCCGCGCCGATAGTATAATGATAGATATGCCCCTGATCATAAATAAACATAAATATTACTAAAGAAATGATTAAGGCTACCTAAAAGAACTCTACAAGGCAGAAATCACACCAACATGTTGTAGGGCCTTGTGGACGTGAGTGTCAAATGGCTTCAAGTAAAAATGTATGTAAGATAATCTAAGAATTGTTGTTCCAAAGTTGACAAATATTCCATCCACTTGATCGTGAACTCCTTCACCGGTTTGACTGTGACCTTCGTTTTACAGGGGAAAGTTCATGACTCCTAGTTCTGAGTTTGTCCAAATTGGTCTTCGCCTAAAATAGGCTTTGAACATTTGATAAGAGTGGACTTTAATAATGATATAAATGATTGAAGTTTTAATGATGTGACTTATATACTCTGATA